ATTCTACCTGCACTAAAGAGACAAGTGCTCGTCGAGGGATTCTAATTCGACTTAAATATTCTAATTCTTTTCTGTATTCTACCCATTGATGATGAATCTCTTGACATACAGACTCATCCCAATCTGTCCGCAGTTGCCACAATTGTTGCATGACTAATTTCGCGCATGTGATAACCGGGCCGATTAACCCCAAAGGATCGAAGATCTGAGAAATCTCTGAAAGGATTTGCCGTTTTGTAACTCTACTATTAGTCGATGGTTTTATCATGAAATGGAGCTCATCCTCCACCGTTGACCAGTGAAGACCAAGAGTTTTTGGGTCTTTGTCTGCACTCAATTCTATATGTATGTTCTATGTTGGAACCCTGCTCTGTAAGTGCGGCGGAATTGGACGCCCACTTTCTTAATTTAAGACCTGCTTGTCCTACTATTTGCGATAACTTTTCTTTTACATATCTCAATTCATCTACTGTATCCAGCCCCGTTAGCAAATCATCAACGTAGAAATCGTTGATAATTATTCTACTGACAACTGGAAATTCTTGTGCGCATTCTAAACCGATCTGTTTTAATGTGCGGGTGGCTAAAAATGGCGCGGAGGCTGTACCGTACGTTATCGTATTTAATTCAAAAGTTTCTATTGGGGAAGTGTTATCAGGACGCCACAAAATTCTTTGAAAACATCGCTGAGCTGGCTCTATCAAAATCTGCCGATACATCTTCTCTATATCTACAGACAATACAAACTGATGTGTTCTGAATCTAAGAAGGATTTCAACTAACTCGCTCTGGACTGTTGGGCCGACCTTTTGAGTGTCGTTCAGCGAGATGCCCGTACTTGATTTTGTCGAACCATCAAATACAACACGAAGCTTCGTTGTTGTACTCTCAATCTTGGTAACGGCGTGGTGAGGGAGATAAAATGAATGCCCACACCGATCTAAATTTGGGACGGAAATCCGGGACATATGTCCTAAATTCTCATATTCCCTCATGAATTGCACATACTGATCGCGTAAATCAGGTTGTCTTAATAATTTTGCTTCTAAGGATCTAAACCGTTTTTCCGCTTGTTGTCGCGATGTTCCTAATTTCCCTAATTGCTCATTAAATGGAATCTGGACTATATATCTGCCTGTAACATCCCTACGTGTAGTTGCCTGGAAGTGTATCTCACACTCATCCAGTTCAATATCTTTATTTGAACCTAAATGTTCAATTGACCAAAACTGTTCTAATTGATTTGAGAGCTCTTGATTCGTAACGAGGTAACATTTTTGAATTGGTAACTTCTTTTGAATGGGCCAGGCAATTTGGCCTCCTAAAACCCAACCTAATTGTGTTTTCTGCCATAATAAGTTACTTTGCGCTTTGTGCTGGCCAACACATAACAAATGCCAAAATAACCTTGAACCAATTAACATATCGATTGGTCGACATCTATCAAAATCTGGGTCCGCCAGTTTAATGTGAGAGGGAACAGAAATCCGTGATCTGTCGATACTGATATTGGGCATGTCTTGAGTGATACAATCTATTAACAAGCATGATATGGTAGAACTAAAATCGTTGATTCGGGATTCTATTGTTAATGTTACGTTATCTCTACTGATTTTTTTATTCCCGCCTATTCCTGCTATCTGAACATCTATTGAGTTTAATTTTATGCCTAATCTGTCACACATCTCGTATGTGATAAAATTTGCCTGCGACCCAGAGTCAAGCAAAGCTCTACACTCTACATACTGTCCTGTTTTGTTTTTTATGTTAACAATCGCTGTCGAAAGTACGCTGTGATCCCAAGTTTTATCCTGCAGATTCGCGACGCAAGACGTGACGTTATTCGGCTCTATTACACTTGATTCCTGCGAGGATTTTTTAATTGATTGTGTGGCATATTCCCGGTGTAATAATATGTGATGTTTCCTACCACATAAATCACAAAATTTGCGTGTACATGCTTGCACACGATGACCCGTTTGCAAACAATTATAGCAACTGGCGGATTTCTGTACTATTTTTGTCTTTTCATCTATTGATAACCCTTTGAATTTATCACA